GTAATAATTCAATTAATAAAATATATTTTTCTAACTATTTTTATATTCTCAACCCACCCTTAGGTACTACTTTTCTATATTGAATATTTTAATCTGCTATTGCCACTACACCTATTGTAGGTTTTGTTTGTTTTTTGAGAGGAGAAAATTATTCAATGACCTTTTCCGCATTCCGTGAGGCGAGAGGGAGTGTCAGACACTTACTGACTAAAAACCACCCCATGCTTACTTGTGCTCTTCGAGCCAGAGCCCCAGCATCGTGTTAAGTCCTCTGCGGTTGTAAGTATGTTTAACTTAGTCATTGCAAGACCGTTAATGAATAGACAATATGTTAGTACTTATAGTTGTTAATCATGTTTAACATATTAATGTTATTTGTTAAAGATATAAGCAGTTAATAGAAACTTATGTAACTCAATTTCCATAATGTTTGTCTGTCACATATTATTATAATGAAAGAGTGTACTGTATGTTTATGGAATATTAAGTTTCTGAATGAAGTATTCAGTTGTTCAGTATTAACAAGATATAAGAACTATTCAACTGTATTTAATAGAATCAATTTACGTAATAGGTATTATTATTTTAATATTATTTCTATAGGTGTCATACATCGAAATTATAACTGTAATCACATAATCAATACCTATTAGATATCATTCCAGACAGTAATTAGTTCAAAAATACCCAAGATTAAAAAGTAATTCCATGTTCATTACAAAATATATGTCAATTAATCAAGATTATTGTCTGGATGTTTTTAAATACCTAGCACTGTCTATAGAAGTATAGATGATGAAATAAAACTGTCTCGGCTGAAAGTAGTGAGTGGAATTACGACTTAACTAGGTTTGCAATTAGAATTTGAGCATTCTCACATCAGATAAATAGAATTATTAAAGGTCATTTTGAAATTTTAATTATTAAAGAGCCCTTTAGAACAACAAATCTGGGTAGAAGTAGATGTATTCATAATAGATCTGTATTGGTTTCAAATATTTGGACTTCTGGTCAAGTTTCTTTATATTCTGCTTAACTACTGCAAAACAGTCAAATTATATAAACAAATTTAGGAAAACACGCAACTTCGTCCTGATAAGGTCATAGAGGACGCATTATCGAAGAGACAAACAACTCGGCAGGGGGCCACTTACGTCCTTATCACTCGAGTTCTGCAGGTCAGGCGCAGTGTCGATCGCCCATCCATTAGAAAACGACGATGACGATTGCGACATACTTATTTACCAATTATAATTAAAGTATTACGCCGTAACCTCACAAACATTTTTACGTGATTTGGCGCTTAGATAAGCACTTGTGCAACGTTACAATTGTTTGCTTGTAATTTTAGGTGACTAATCATTATTAATAACATAGATTATCAACTGATAACATAAATTTAAGGTAAAGACAAGATCTAAAAAAAATCTTTTATCATGTTTACAGCACTCTTCAGAAATGTAGGCTGTTCTATATTAGCATGAAACAGCTGTTGTGTCGGTGTGTCAGCCAATGGGAAAATATAGTGAGACATAACGTATTGCAAAAATTGTAACAGAAAACTGACTAAGCAGTGAGCAAGATGACATTTTGCATTTTGGCGTTTTGTCAAAATCATGAATTTTAATATTTCGTTCAAAAATAACAAAGAGAAAAACGTTAAACTTCGCCATCTTCAACATGGTAATAATAATGTTATCCATTTAAACAATTATTTAATTATTTTTATCGTAAATTTTGAAGATGGAAGATACGAAGAAAATAAGGATAGTTTCAAAAAGAGTAAAGTTTTAATTATTTTTAAGTATGTTAAGCTTATGGATTTAGACAGAGCAGGCGCGCCGTAAGCGGGCGTGCAAAGCATGCACAGCACACGGGCGTACGATCATAGGGCGGCTAATCGAGCGAACTATTCAAAATCATTGTCTACAGTAAGCAGAAACCATAAGAAATATCATCGCTGGGAAAAAATCTCACTTGACGCAAGCAATATTAGCGTTATAACTATCTATCGTCATTAGTTATAATTAAGAATAAGATGCAATACCAAACTTGAAATCTCCCGAAAATTGTTCACCGCCTGTTCCCGTTCAGAGGCGCCCCAAATTCTATACTAGACTAAAGACAAAAGGTGTGTAGACTGATGCAAGTTAGTGCACTGACCAAAAAGGCTTACTTGGCTAAAAGAGCTAAATTAAAAACATTAAATCGACGAGGATGCATGAAAAGATTGATAAATATAATATATGAGAAGCGAAAGAATTACGCCAAAATGTCACTTGGTATTCTCTTATGTATCTTTGTCTTCCTCGGTGTGGTACCTACTTAGGAGTCTGCGACGTAACAAGAGGATATGTAGCTGTATTCTAAGACATACCTACCTTAAGCAGACAATAAGTAAGACCACACAACGACGTACTAGGTAGATATTTAAATTGGATTACTTTAATATAAAAACAAGTTCAAGAGTTGAATACATACATTTATTTTTGCCTTGTTATCGACTACCTAAAACAATAAAAATAATTAAATTATTCACTGTGTAACTTACCTAATTGCTTAAGTATCGGAATATTTTGCGTGGGGTTATCATTCTGCCCTGTCTACAACGAGTAGTCTTGATGATAACAGGCCGTTGGGGGTACACACGCTTTCTGATGAGCAATGAGCATGAACATCACATGATATCTGTAATAATTTAATTTTAAGTAAAATACTAAATTTATGTACCTACGGTAAAATGGGGTGGATTTTTTTATGGAATAAGCCGGTAAACGAACGGACGGATCGCCTGATGGTAAGCAATCGGCGTCGCCCATGGACACCTGGACCAGAGGTTACAAGTGCGTTACCGGCCTTCTGGTTTAGGAATTTGACTAGGATAGGATAGGATTGTTGGGGATTCAGGGGTTGGGGAAAGGGGGAGGTGGGTAATTGGGCCTCCTGGGAATAGGGTTTGAGCGGCACAAAGGGAAAGAAGAGGGGTGAATAGATACTATGAAGAATTTCCTTATATCTATTCACCCCTCTTCTGTCCCTATTCACCCCATTTTACGGTACTTACCAACTTGAATTAAGTTAAAATTAACGCATAGGTAATCATGTTTTCTATACCCTGAAGAGAGAGGTACTCAGGTAGGTAGATTTACTCATTAGGTACTTACATCAATTATTATTTATTATATTAGAATACGTACCTACATACCTACTTATTTGTTAAAACAGTTAGAACAAATCTGAGCATTAAAATTGAGGCCTCTTGCTCAGCAGGCGGCATTGCAGTCATTGAAATAACAACACAGTCTTGTTTTTTTCCTTTAATAATATCAGCAAATACCGATTAACGATATTCTCTGCAAAGTAGCGTTTACCTTCAAAAGTTAAGATAGTAAGATAAGACTAATACTTTTTGTGTAAAACTTTTTACTGCGCATTTTTCACTTCTATAAATACATGACGAATTGTGACTTTCAATGTTAAATTTCTTTTGTTAACCCTACGGTGAAATAGTTAGTTTTGAGGAAGATGGAGACAACATTTTGGCACAAATAAAGTTTGCTTTAGTTTGCCAGTTACCACGTTGGTAAACAATTAATATTAGATCCAGTTTCCATAAGTCATCGAGAGTCAAGCTACCTATGATAATAATATGATACAGGCATGCATGAATTGATGTATCTGATGAGCACCAACTCAGGTTTGCGCCTGTGGATATTGTCATAGCAAGTTTTGCAGTTTTGCGACTTTAGGTAGATATATATTTTTTTTATTTAGTCCATCAAGAAATAAAAAGATAACGTCAAGGTAACATTTTTAAATTGTGTATCGTTTTCATTTATTTACGTTATCATTATGTACCTACCTATTTACGAATGTGGAGGATGCAACGCAACAGACAGATTAGTACGGAATTTAGGTAATAGTCGCGTAGCTCCCATTGCTGGTCGAAACAGAGATCTACTTCTGTTTATAGAAGTACTCATTCATTCTCCTATGAGAATGTTTTTCCAATTCTCTACCATAATCAATTTCCTAATTTGGAATCTTTAAATTCATAATCCCCAAAATGCTGGTAATTATCTTGTAACACTTCTAGTGTTGCACGGAGCCGATTGTTAACATCTTCTCGTTTACCGCCCTAACTAATATAAAAAAAATACCTTGGTAACTACATATTACATGTGTATGGTGCCTGAATGAATTATGATAGCAAATATATTTTGACATGCGAAGTATTAACTACCTGCCTACCTATTAAGGATATTCTCCTGTGTCGTGGATGCGTTTACAAACATATAAGTGCACATACACATGACACCCAGTCCCGGAACAATAATCTGTGTATTACACAAAAAATTGCTCCGTGCGGGAATTGAACTCGCGACACGTAGCGAGCAGTTGCCCAGCCACCGCGCCAACAGTGCAGTATTGTGGTTCTTCTGGGCCAATGATAGATATTGATTTAAGAACGCAATGTTCTTCGCATTTCGTACTCAAAGTGGCATTCATGTTCATTGTAGGTTTTACACTGACAACTAGAGATGGGAAGATTCAAATGTTACAGTCAAACGTATTAAGTCTGCCAGTCCTTGTAAAAGTTCAATCTAAGTCAGATAAATCCTTTTCATAATATTTGAATGACAACAAACTCAACTTCTCCTTTTTTTAAAAAGTCTTGGCGAAAGGTTTGTCATTGTAGAGGTAAATTATATATTTTTTTATTATGTTCGTCCCACTCTAGGGCAAAGGCTTCCCTATCCTCCTTCCACTCGTCACTTCGTAGAGCTTTCTTAGGCCAATCTTTTGGATAGGTGTCAAGATCATCCCGCCATTTACTTCTGGGCTTGCCGCGACGTTTATTGACGTTGAGCAGGATCCACTCGGTAGTGAGTATTGCCCACCACTCGTCAGATAGGTTTGCGGCAGATAAATTAAAATTAACTTTATAAAATGTAGGTTCCGTAGCGCAAGTAGGATTGGACAATATAATTAAAACACTATTTAGTTTACTTAATTTTATTAGATACTCTACGTACTTCCATACAGCACAGAAAATGCTGTATGAAACTTACATAACTAGAATTACACGTCGTCGTCGAATATATACGTAACTATATGAAAATATAGTATAGAAATGTTTATAAAATCATTAATCACAGTGTGTACTAACATTCTAAATATATATGGAATGATTAAATTTCAATATTTCAATAAATAATAATAAAAATAGAAGGAAACCCTGATTGTAAGTCGAAAGCCATACATACATATTTTGTTAGACACCTTTTAAAACATTACACATAGTCTCTTAACCCCCAGGGAGTTCGAAGGCACAAGTATTACTATAACAGAATTTGTAATTCTAATAATTGTACTGTTTTAATAACATTTTATTACAAGAAAATTGTGTGTTCGACAACATTGGCACAATTTTATATTACATTTTAGAAGCAAAGCCGAAACGTTTATAACTTAAACAACCAGTTAATATCAAATGCTACTTAAATGACTTAAACTTATTAAAATATAAATTATAGTACTTCGGCACACAATTCTGGAATGATTTTGGAATGAAGTTGTCACTTTAATGCTTATTTTTTATGTTTCCAACACTAGGAAGTCTCATTCCCACAGTAGGTAGTCTTTATTCTTCCATGTCTATATTCTCTAAACAATAATTAAATTATTGTTACAGTCAATCAGAACTCACATTTAGGTTCGAAACATCGTCTTAGGACACGAAGTCCTTTTTAATAACTCTACAAGGAAATAAGAACTTTATTTAGTTGGAAATAATAGCCAAAATAGAGATTCAAAAAGAGATTTTTAAAAGGAATGACCCTTTTCTATTCTAACATTATGTCATTGAATCTAATATAAGTACTGCACTATGTATGTATAATTAATTATTACTTAGGTGTGTTTCAGGGATGATTTCCATCAAGAGATTGTGTCATAGTGAGAATATTAGTCTAAGTTGCTTTGTAGTGACTGAACACTGTGCGTATCTTGTAAGTCATATAAGATATTACGAGATTTCATCGTCAAAAATCCTACACAAATATAAATAAGAAGTCGAATAAGAAGCAAATTGTTGATTGCTTGGTCTTTCTGGTGCGAATCATCCCTTTCTGACAGATCGGGTGTACATTTACGTTGGAGGCAGAAACTGTGTCACCCAACGCCAGAATTGGTAGACCGAGAAATACATAACATTAAAATCCTACCGACCAATTAGTTGGCGTGGGGTGGCGAGAAGTGTGTTGCCTTTGTAACCTGGCTGAAGTTTACATATGCCTCGTGTTGCCAAAGTTGATGCCGCTCTGGGTGGCACCCTTGTTGGAGCCGTACTGCAGAGAGATCACACCTTGACCAGCCCTAAGTTGCTCTTCGGAGAAGTTTCGCACGTTCTTTTCAGATTCCTTTGGTCCTATTGAAGGCTTTCCGAAGTTACCGGCCTGGAATGTTAAAAACGAAAAAAATTATTAACTTATTTGTATGATATCTAATGAAAAATTGTAAGTACCTCATATTATATCAAGCCGTAGCAATACATTATGTCATTGTTATGAAATTTGGAAAGGTTCAGTACTTATTAATAATACTTTATTAAATTGTAATAAATAGGACTAGGTGTAATATTAACCTTTCTGCCAAGGGACTGCAGGCAGATGACGACAGAGTTGAGGTTCTGCCTCTCCCACAGGTCGACAGTCTGGAATGTTTCCTGCGCCGGCACGCCCAACGTCTTCGCAGCCTCTAGGAAAGCGTTGATGTTCTCCATGCACTTGAACGCCATCTTCGAAACATTCACCTTCTTCACAATGTTAGGCTGAATGTCGTTCACGAGCCTGTAATACAAAGACAGATTATTTATTAAATATCTATCTACATATACCTCTATGACATTCAGCCGTATGTGTTACCTAAGTTTATGTTTAGCTTGGGTTTTACGTAACGATTGAGCTCCGTGTTCGGAGCTGCTTATAAGTAATCTATAGATATTCTCTAGGCTAGATATATCTAAGTCAGATACTCATAGGTAAGTATACTAGCTCGGTTAGTATTAGTCAAACCACAAACAATCGCTTCACCGCGTGACGCACGCCCACAGAACGATGACAAAATTGGATGAGCCATTATGTGATGAGTTTGGGGATAGGATAGTGTTATCGAACTCGGATTACCTATTTATATAATTGAAGTAATTCGTTAACTTAATGTATGCAATAAAGCCAGTGTATTAGATACTCGACCTTCGGCCCAATTTCTGCTGCGAGAAGCCAAAGTAATCCTATTTATCAATAATACGCTTTGAGATTTAGCTTGTTATACCAATGGAATGTAAAGTAATTGCTGTTTTAAGTCAATATTTTATTTATTTTTTATTTTTATTTTATTTATTTGGGAAAACAAACAGCGACACATTACATGATACATGATGACACAATACATAGGTAGTTCGAACAAATGTGTAACCAACGGCGTTTTCCACAGAATATAAATTAAATCATAAACACCATCACACAAACTTATATAACTAATAAAATATACTAAGAAAACATAAATAACATTACGCCTTTTGATCCCTGAGGGGAAAGGCAAAAGTATGATAATTATATATAATTTTTTGTGGTTATATATGGTTCAGAAAAGAGAGAAAAAAAAACATGTTGAGACTTTTACAAATTAAATGAAAATAAAATGAAATCACTATAAGACCGGCCAGCATAATCAAAT